TGTTTTAGGACATAGTCTTGCATTTTTCAGGCATTTCATAATTCCGCATGTCATGTTGGTCAAAAGTTGAAAAGTTTTCATGAATTAAATTTTTTTTTTTTTCAAAATTACTGTTTTAATGTTTTCTGCATGTTTTTTTATCAAATTACAGCATTTAAAAAAATATTTTTCAAAAAAACATTTGGAATTTTTCGACATTCAATCTTGTCTTCATGTTTCTCATCAAATTATACAATTTTGAGATTTTTTTCAGAATTTCTTTTGATGGAATGTGTTGGAAAAATCCTAATGGTTGCCATAAACTTCCCACATGAAAGTAAACAATCCGCTCTTGTCTTCTGAGGGACCGCCGTTTATACATGGGTGCAAAACATGTGTTGTGGCCAAAGTCTCATCAAAGGTCACTGGGCTATGCTTTGAACACTTCAAAGCTGTGGGATGAGACGGTACCTTTTAAGTTTTATGGCAGGTGTAAGCAGGGGTTGCTGACCAGGCCAGGGTGGTCCGCTCCCTGGGCTGCAAAAGGCTTCTCCTGCTGCTGCTGCTGGTTGTTGGCTTGCTAGTAGGCTGAAACAGTGGGGGCAGGGGTCTACCCAACTGACCAGACTGTCCGTAATGTCTGGATGCAACAGGACACACTTGGAGTCGCTTGGATCTGGAAGGAGTTTCTGGGAGCAAACTGGGCAAGGGCACACGTCCACTTCAAGGGTCTCTGGTTACACAGGACCACAGCAGGGTACGTCTGAGGCCTGTGTGGAAACAGATACATTGGTAGAGAAGAGCAGAGGGGGCTGAGGCCTGATGACCATACCACAGAGTGACCACAACGCAGTGGCCTCCCTTGACAGAGCAGAAACAGACCCGTTGCAAGTTCAAAGGATCCAACGGGGTCTTGCCAAAGTTCATTTGCTCACATGTTCATTCATCTCAGCACCTGATGGGCTTCACTGTTTCATGTTTGCTCAGGCATTTTAAGTTTTTTAGTGGAAGACTTCAAAGCTGTCGACATTATTAAGAGCACCAGTTTAAAGGGAACTGTTCAGCAACCAAGCATCTTCACGTCTGTCAGGCTCCCGCCCTCTGAACTCCACACACAAACAAATTCTTATTCTACATTACGTTTCAGAGTTCAGTCTCATCTCCCATCTCTTCTTGTCCTCGTCATAAAATAGATTTATAGGAATTTAATCGCAGTGACGGTTTGGATGGAGCAATTTCCACAAACCTGCGTTAAAATGGATTTTTGCCAGAAATGACTGCAAAACAAATATACTTCCCATCTTCTGCCTCAAGCTGCACAAGTCCACGCTCTCTAACAGAACTCCCAAATTGACACAGTTGGGTGTTCTTTAATACAGCACATTATGAACATTGAAATCTGCACAAAGTGCCTTAATAACTCCTCCAGTGACAGTGTCGGCTAAATTGATCATTTTGAAAGCTTTACAATATCCATAATTATGCGAGTGGAATAGAAGGTGCTGTGTGTCTTTTCTGATGATCTTGGAATGACAGGCCTATAACAGCCCTCTCTGCCTCAGACTGTCACAGAGACACACAGAGAAAAGTCATTACAGGCCCAGGGTGAAGCAGGTGTGTTTTCGACACTTCACAGATGGCTGCGAGCGCCGGTAATGAGAGAATAGTAAACAGCAGAAAACTTTCATCTCTGATGTGACATTGTTTTATCAAGTGTGCAGCTCTAACTTGGCAAAGTGTTAGAACACAAGGTCAGAGCTCACAGACTACTGCAGTACATTCAGCTGTCATAAAATATAACTACTATATTAACGATTATACAGTCGCTAAACAAGAACCCAAGAAGTGAAAACATTTTCAACAAATGAACAAAGTGCATTTCTTCAAAGTTTAACTTGGTGTATGAAAAACTGACAAAAACTAGGGTTTTCCTGATATAATTTTCACAAAAATGATAAACAAATGAGTGACCTAATTTGTGTGAGTTAATTTGAAGAAAAATTAAATTAAATTATTGTACAACCAAGATGCTGTGACGATGGAAAATTTCTCTCATTCGGTGTTAATGCGTTCCACCAGCACCCTCTGTTGGACTACATTGCAACAACCTTTGCTTCTGTAGTATATGTGGGTTTTATTATACATGGAGTTTGGCTCATACAGACAGCCACTGACATCCTTCACCATCATGGACTGAGCTGCTGGTTCAGCTGAATTACAGACAGCAGAGATGTCACCGGTGTAGTCGGCGTGGCAGACTCTCACCAGCGCCTTATTAATCGTTTCACATTAAAGCAGAACATTTTGCAACACCCAGAGAAACATTATCGTCCCAGAGTGTGCAGGAGTCGACTCTATTTTACTCCTGTTTTACTGGGAGCTGCTTAAGGAGGATGATTAAAAGTGCATTACCTGGGCCCAGTGATTCCCTGAATGAGCTGTGCTAAATTGGTTGTTTTCTATGCTGTGATTAATTGAACTCACACAACCACATTTCAACGCGCTTTGTTTTTCCGTCCCTCGTCATCAGCTATTATTAAAGACAAATTTTCAATATCTCTCTAGGAGTCCAATTAGGGATTTACGTTGTGACAGTATTTTTCACTTTAATTACTATAAATAGTGCGAGTGTTGACGTATTTCCTTATTTATTAAACAGCACGGTGGAGGAGAATTCATCAAGTAAACGGATCATAATTGCATTTTCTATTTCGGCCCCACAACGAAGGAGAGACGTAGAATCTGATGAACCAGTAAATTATGTCTCGGAAATGACTACGTAGCATATTCTGAGAAACTGCACTGTGAATAAAACTTGTGATCAAGACACTGTACTGTGTCTGTACTTCATTGTGTTACAGACAGGATGTGGATCGGTCATGTCAAAGTCTGGTTCTGGGGCCAATAATGGCACTTGGGTGGGGCATCAACATCCACATGGATTTCTGGTAAGGAAATTGACAAGTACTACTACTACTATACTAATACTACTATGATGATGACAGACAAAGACTACATCTACTGATACACATACCATTACTGGTACAGGAGCCTCCTAGACTTATATTTTAGATTAGATTAGACAGAACATTACTGACCCCACACTGGAGAGATTATTGGAAGAAAACATCGTTCCTGGGTGGGATCGAACCACCAACCTTTCAATAACAGCTCAACGTGCTAACTTGTAGTTTCTTTTTTCAATCTTATTTAAGCTAGTTTAGGCAATAATTTTGCTACATTCTGTAACATCAATCTTTCAGCTGAGCTTCAGTTAACTGAGCTTAAATTTAAGCTTTGGCTATTTTGACTTGATTCCGTACCGTACCTCACACGTAAACTACAAAACTTACATAGACTTTGAATTGATATTATGAAGAATAATGCACAAAACAGAGAGGAACATCATGTAGATAACGCAAACACAATACGGAAGACTCGCCGCAGATGCGTACGGTAGTCGACGAACAAGTGAAGTGAACGAGTGCTCGGCCTCCTAGCGTCAGTGTCTGTAAGCGTGCTCGTATCTCAAATCTCTACTTGTATCTCAAAGCGGAAGTTTTTGCTCGAAGGTTTGCTCGAGGTTCCACTGTAACACCCCCGGTGTTGATTCAAAGATACAAAATGAAAATGTTCTTTTTAAACATGGTTCCCTTCCTGCCGCTGCAGTAAATCAGCCCCGGTTGTAACATTACACCACAGGTTTCAGAACCACCAGCCTGGACTATGGAGATAATGTTCGGTCGTTGGTATTAATTTGGTTTTGTCTCATATTGGGGGAGAACTGTTGGAATCCCTTTGTGCTGTAAAAACATCAGAGGGCGCTGCTGATCACAGGGACGCCTTATGGCCCTGGCCCTCGACTGGTGCACACATGTGCAGTGACACTTGGAGTTCCAGGATTCACTCTTGATTCTTAAAAACCTATAAATGTCTGATTCTTAACTACGGCTGCCGCGGTGCTGAAGTTAAGTGGCTCCAAATTGAAATTTCCTGTGGGTTCGCCGTCTGCACATGGAGCCAATAAAAGTCCTGTGGCCTTGAATAAATGTTAATTTTTCTTTTTTGTGGGTCTGCAGGGTAAGAGGAATGATGACAGCCTCGCTGCTAAACATGCAGACGTTCTGTGAATAATCATCTCATTTCTGGAAAAATAAATGTAATATATAAA